CCGCCCAGCCTGGCACCCTCCCGCCTGCCCGCAACCCCCAGCTATACACACAGCCCCTCGCTCCAACCCGCCCAGCCTGGCACCCTTCTCTTTCCCCCCACCGCACACATTCTCATTCCAATCCACTCAGCCTGCCACCCTTCACCCCACATCTTCTCAGATCAACAGCTCTCACATTTTGTTTTTAACCAAAACCAGACCCTCCCCTGAAAATAAAAATACAATAAACAAACTGAAATAGCAGACAGAAATAGCTATATGTTGCCCATATGAATGGAATCACAACACAACAGTAGTGACCCATCAGCAACTACAGAGACGGCCATCGAAACCCAACCTTCTCCCGCCCACCCTACATACATATCATGCTTTCATTTTGGTGTTTGTGTATCTGTAAGTCAATTAAAAAAAAAGAAGAGACTGTCTGTGCCAGCCTACCTGTAAGGAAACACATTTGGAATTTTTCATTTCCAGACAGGCAAATGAAAACGTCATGCTAGAAATCAAAATCGTCACTCTGAATTTGAGCATAATCCTAGTCTTATTTTTCACATAATATGGTTTAGAAGGTAATCCACTATACAGCTAAATATTAGCATTTGCATTGCACTAATGCCAAGATTAGTGCCCCTGAACGCTGGGCACTGTACAAACACAGCAAGAGACTATCCACGCCCTGTAGAACTTATTAAACAGACGACACAAATGGTGGGAGGAAGAAAGGCAGAGACGTGAAATGATTTGCCCAAGATCACACAGCAGTTCAGCAGCAGAGCCAGGAAGAGAACCTAGTCTCCTGGTCCCAGTCCAGTCCAAGTCCACTTCGTTATTCTTGGTTTTGACCCCCAGTCTGGCACACCTTTGATAATATCGGAGATACAACAGCAGCAGGTGACAGAACAAACAAGCTAGTAAAGTCTCACCTTTCCTTTTTAATAAGGAACTGTTTTAAATCCTGAAAGATACGTCCAGTTTTTCGTCCAACTTCTAAGTATAGGTTAGGTCGGTCAAAACTAGTACATGTGACCTGAGGATTCTTTAGGGTTAGACAGTGCACTATGTCTTCTCTAACGGAAGGGCTCGCTGTTGCAGTTAAAGCAACAATAGGAACCTGAAATGAAAAGCAGAGAGGAATGATGGAAGGAAAAAAACAAAAACTAAGACACGTCATTCTTGCTTTTTTTTTATTTTATTATTGTGATTCAAAGTTAAGGAAAAAATGGGATGAGACTAGATATCCTGATCTGCTTACAGTCCCTGGAAAATTGTATGCTTCTGAAGAATAGAGACAATATTATACTTCCCAGAGCTTTTTATTGTCACAAAGAAATATATTTTAGCGATCCTTTCATAAAAGCAAATGGACATTCACCTGTCTACATGGGGGAAACAGAAACTATATTTAAACATATATTTTTTCAAACTGGATTTGGACAATTACCTTTACATTACAGTTTCTTCAACAGGATTACACAAATTTTCAAATATGGGTGCCTAAAGTTAGGTACCTTAGGACAAGATCTTCAGAAATAGGTGCCAAAAGTTAGGCCCCTAAGTCCATATTTCAGTCACCTACGGTTAGGATTTTCAAAGATGCCTATGTGACCAGAAGTCAATGAGATCTGTGCTTCTAAGTCAGTGGGGTGCTTTTCAAAATCCCACCCGTAGGCTCCTGAATCCATATTTAGGCACCTAAATTGAGGCTCCTATTTTTGAAAAATTTTGGCGCTTAGTCTGTGTTTTATCACCTAAATAAATGGCCTAATTTTCAAAAGCACCAGAACTCCAGGATACACAAATTTGAAAGTATGGTGCCATAATGAATAAGATGTTTTAAGTCTAGCACCCGAGTGAAAAAAAACTAATCCTGCTTGAATGGTGGGAGCCCATGTATCAGTACCTACATACAGACCAATATTTTCCCCATGACTAAAATGTGTCCTTTTCCAAAAAGGTTACAAAAACATCACTAAGGGTCTGAATATTGACAGCCATTCACTGCATTAATATAAATGAGAATACATTATAAATCAAATTCTTCCATCAGATGCACACACACACTTCCATCGCCTTTGAACTGAAATAGAACATGTAGGTACGTATATCTGAAAGCATATTTCATCGCTATGAAGGCTTGAGAAGTAGCCACCCTAATTTACATGGCAGAGGCGTATTTCAGGGCACACAATATATCTGGTGTGCATTCTGGTTTTATTCAAATTTTTCAGTGCTTCAAGCATGTCTAAAGAAGAGCAATGTCAGGAAAAAAATCATAACCCTACTAGAAAATTTTACTTTTAAAACAATTTACAACATCCTTTTTTATCTTATTTACAAATGAGCTATACCCTGGAGCCTCACCGAAGGGAGCACTTTCTTTAACGAACCCAAAGTCCTAAATGAATTTCTGAAGTCATGCCCCCACTCTGAAATACAATGAGCCTCATCGACCGCTATCAGCGTGATACCTGGGGTTGGGGGAAAAAAAACACACACAAAAAATGAACACAAAAGTTATATAATATTACACTGATTTAGGAAAGAATACCAAATGTTCTAGAAAATAAAAACCTCATTTACTGAAGTTAAACTTTACAGTGAAGTCTGATCAGCCCTCGGATACTATGCAGATGGGAGCCCTGATAATTGCAGAGAAAGGTACAATTAGTTTGTGTGGGTTTCTAAAATGGCTTCTAGCGTAACAACCAGTGGAAATCCATTTTCACATTGACCTCTTTTCATACGAAGCCACGAGAGATTTCGCAGACCTTCCCCCTCTGCTCCACTTTTCCCTTCATCATGTCCCTGGCCTTCAAGCCCACTGCTCATAAGATGTGTGTCACATCAGCTCCCCGCTTCTACACAACAAGGCATGCTTCCTCTCTCTTTTGGTGCCAATAAAGACTTCAGGCCAGTTTGCTAATATTCATCGAGGTGTTTATAGCTACTATCAATTTTGTTTCCTTGGTAGTGAAATAAGGCCTGAGAGTCCCAGGATTTCTCCAATCCTCTTAAGAGGTCATGTGAGTATAGGTAAATCTGATGGGAGAGGAACTTCTAAAGCAACTCTTCATACTAACACATACATCACATATTACGGTTTGAACCATCACTCTGTCTCTGCAAACAGTGCTTTTATCAGCCTGTTATATAAAGGACTCTGAAATAAATGTCCTGGAGGTGCCAAGCAGACTCAAATCCTATTGACTCCAATGGCTTTCAAGAAGCTCATTGCATCTCCCAGCACTGGGCACTAAATTGGGGAAATCACAAAAATTATTTGAAGTTTGAATTATTTTGAGTTGTCCTGATGGTCACTTGGGGCATTAGCTGCATTACTGTGTTTAGTAAGAAAAATAGTTTATTAGCCACAATACTTGTACTGCATGCATACTTCTGAGAATGTTGAGTGCATGTTCTGAAGAGCCTACACTGATCCTTCTATTATCCCTGTTCTTAGTAGCTGGTATTTCATGAAGAATGAACATTATGCTCCCTCTCTATATCTGTATCTCTATATAGTGATTATCTTAATGTTATTGTAACAGAGTCTGCTGACACCAGTCAGTGGGGATTGATATAATGGCCTCTGAACTTGCTGTTAGTGTTGAGAAACAGTGCTGAAAAATTCTCAAAACAGGATATATTAAACAAATACAGAGAAAAAAATATTAAAAACACATCACTGGTAGGACCTTTGAATAAAAGCAACGTAATCCAATTCCTACTCCTAGAGGGATTCTGCACCAAAAAATTCTACTCACAATATTTTAAAATTCTGCCAAATGCTGCTCCGGCTGTCAGCCCCGTGCAGGGCAAGTGTGGCTAGGGCTGTCAGCCCCGGGCGGCTAGGGCTCCTGCTGTCAACCCCACACCTGGTGAGGCTTGGGCTGTCAACGGGAGCCCTGCCATGCGCAGGGCTGACAGTGGGAGCCTTGCTATGTGCGGGGCTCAAATTTGTGATTTTCATCAAGAGGAAACATTTTGATAGAAATCACAAATTCTGCATGAAAAACTAAAATTCTACAAGGAACAGCAATTCTGTGCAGACTGTGCTGTGGCGCAGAATTCCCCCAGGAGTAAATTCCCCACAACTCCCAAAATTAACCTACCACAACATACCAATGGTTTGGTCAAGTTCTTGAAGTAGCGGTAAGTTCCCCGAGCAGAACTCTGGAGTTATATACACAACTCTATAGTGGCCCCTACAAAATTGGGAAAATACATTGTCATATGCAGCAGATGAAAGAGATCCCAAACAATTCATCCAACTGAAATGAAAGAGTGCATCAGATAAGATGAAGGTGGGGACAATACAGAGAGGTTGTGAACGGGGAACATGAGAGGAAACGAATGATGCAGAGAGAGGGTAGAGAGAATGGAAACAAAAGAGGGAAGGCGGGAAGAGAAAGAGGAAAGGAATTTCTTAGATTTTAAGACCAAAAGGGGCTATTATGACCATCTAGTCTGATCTCCTGCATAGCCCAGGCCAGAGAATCTCACTCAGAGATTCCCGCATTCAGCCCAATAACCTGTGGCTGAGTTAAAGAGATAGAAAGAGATATCCAAACTTGATTTAAAGACTCCAAAGGGGAAAAGAAGATAAGCTCAAATATTAAATAAAACAGAACAGTAACACTGAAAGGGAAATAGATTGAAAGACAAAGGAAAAGTCAGTCATAGGCTGTGCAGAAAGCAATGCATAAACTTAAATTTGCCTAACACTCTCCAACTTTAGGCCCTGTTTTTAGTTGCTTATAACTTTCCCAAGCTTTAACCATTCAGACTGAAATTTTCCCAGGCCAGTTGTCTGCCACAGGCTGAATTTTCTGGAATGGTTTAGTTAAAACAGTTCAACCACTTCTGAGAAGGAGATTAGAAAAAAAATTGCCCATGTTAAAAAAAAAAATACAACTATTTTAATTGAACTTCAAGCGTCTTCATGCTTTGGAGCAGGGACTGGAAATTTGGTGCGGGAGATGATGATGTCACTCCAGTGTCAGATATGCCTTCTGCCATCCCCATGAAAGTCTCCCCAAGTTTGGTCAAGTTATGAGCTTCTGAAAATCTCAGAAGAAATCTCTGCCACTCAGCAGAGGGGAGAAACTGGCAGCATTACTCTCCAAAGGGTCTGAACTTTGACGGGAGGACTCCTGCCTCACACTGAGAAAGCAGGACGATCAGCAAGTTATCTTAAGTGCCTATACACAAATGCAAGAAGCCTGGGAAACAAGCAGGGAGAACTGGCAGTCCTGGCACAGTCAAGGAATTATGATGTGATTGGAATAACAGAGACTTGGTGGAATAACTCACATGAGTGGAGTACTGTCATGGATAGATATAAACTGTTCAGGAAGGAGAGACAGGGCAGAAAAGGTGGGGGAGTGGCATTGTATGTAAGAGAGCAGTATGACTGCTCAGAGCTCCAGTATGAAACTGCAGAAAAACCTGAGAGTCTCTGGATTAAGTTTAGAAGTGAGAGCAACAAGGGTGATGTCGTGGTGGGAGTCTGCTATAGACCACCAGACCAGGGGGAGGAGGTGGACAAGGCTTTCTTCAGGCAACTAACAGAAGTTACTAGCTCACAGGCCCTGGTTCTCATGGGGGACTTCAATCACCCCGATATCTGCTGGGAGAACAATAGAGCAGTGCACAGACAATCCAGGAAGTTTTTGGAAAGTGTAGGGGACAATTTCCTGATGCAAGTGCTGGAGGAACCAACTAGGGGCAGAGCTCTTCTTGACCTGCTGCTCACAAACAGGGAAGAATTAGTAGGGGAAGCAAAAGTGGATGGGAACCTGGGAGGCAGTGACCATGAGATGGTCGAGTTCAGGATCCTGACACAAGGAAGAAAGGAGAGCAGCAGAATACGGACCCTGGACTTCAGAAAAGCAGACTTTGACTCCCTCAGAGAACTGATGGGCAGGATCCCTTGGGAGAATAACAACATGAGGGGGAAAGGAGTCCAGGAGAGCTAGCTGTATTTTAAAGAATCCTTATTGAGGTTGCAGGAACAAACCATCCCGATTTGTAGAAAGAATAGTAAATATGGCAGGCGACCAGCTTGGCTTAACAGTGAAATCCTTGCTATCTAAAACACAAAAAAGAAGCTTACAAGAAGTAGAAGATTGGACAAATGACCAGGGAGGAGTATAAAAATATTGCTCAGGCATGCAGGAGTGAAATCAGGAAGGCCAAATCACACTTAGAGTTGCAGCTAGCAAGGGATGTTAAGAGTAACAAGAAGGGTTTCTACAGGTATGTTAGCAACAAGAAGGTGATCAGGGAAAGTGTGGGCCCCTTACTAATGGGGGAGGCAAACTAGTGACAGAGGATGTGGAAAAAGGTAATGTACTCAATGCTTTTTTTGCCTCTGTCTTCACGAACAAGGTCAGCTCCCAGACTGCTGCACTGGGCAGCACAGTATGGGGAAGAGGTGACCAGCCCTCTGTGGAGAAAGAAATGGTTCAGGACTATTTAGAAAAGCTGGACGAGCACAAGTCCATGGGGCCGGATGCACTGCATCCGAGGGTGCTAAAGGAGTTGGCGGATGTGATTGCAGAGACATTGGCCATTATCTTTGAAAACTCATGGCGATCGGGGAAGGTCCCGGATGACTGGAAAAAGGCTAATGTAGTGCCCATCTTTAAAAAAGGGAAGGAGGAGGATCCGGGGAACTACAGGCCAGTCAGCTTCACCTCAGTCCCTGGAAAAATCATGGAGCAGGTCCTCAAGGAATCAATTTTGAAGCACTTAGAGGAGAGGAAAGTGATCAGGAACAGTCAGCATGGATTCACCAAGGGCAAGTCATGCCTGACTAACCTAATTGCCTTCTATGATGAGATAACTGGCTCTGTAGATGAGGGGAAAGCAGTGGATGTGTTATTCCTTGACCTTAGCAAAGATTTTGATATGGTCTCCCACAGTATTCTTGCCAGCAAGTTAAAGAAGTATGGGCTGGATGAATGGACTATAAGGTGGATAGAAAGCTGGCCAGATCATCAGGCTCAACGGGTAGTGATCAATGGCTCCATGTCTAGTTAGCAGCCGGTATCAAGCAGAGTGCCCCATGGGTCAGTGCTGGGGCCAGTTTTGTTCAATATCTTCATTAATGATCTGGAGGATGGCATGAACTGCACCCCTCAGCAAGTTTGCAGATGACACTAAACTGGGAGGAGTGGTAGATACGCTGGAGGGTAGGGATAGGATACAGAGGTTCAACAAGGACAAGTGCAGAATCCCATGCACTGCTACAGACTAAGGACCGAGTGGCTAGGCAGCCATTCTGCAGAAAAGGACCTAGGGGCTATAGTGGACGAGAAGCTGGATATGAGTTAACAGTGTGCCCTTGTTGCCAAGAAGGCTAATGGCATTTTGGGCTGTATAAATAGGAGCATTGCCAGCAGATCGAGGGACATGATCATTCCCCTCTATTCGGCATTGATGAGGTCTCATCTGGAGAACTGTGTCCAGTTTTGGGCCCCACACTACAAGAAGGATGTGGAAAAATTGGAAAGAGTCCAGCGGAGGGCAACAAAAATGATTAGGGCCTGGAGCACATGACTTATGAGGAGAGGCTGAGGGAACTGGGATTATTGAGTCTACAGAAGAGAAGAATGAGGGGGGATTTGATAGCTGCTTTCAACTACCTGAAGGGGGGTTCCAAAGAGGATGGAGCTAGGCTGTTCTCAGTGGTGGCAGATGACAGAACAAGGAGTAATGGTCTCAAGTTGCAATGGGGGAGGTTTAGGTTGGATATTAGGAAACACTATTTCACTAGGAGGGTGGTGAAGCACTGGAATGGGTTCCCTAGGGAGGTGGTGGAATCTTCTTCCTTAGAGGTTTTTAAGGTCAGGCTTGACAAAGCCCTGGCTGGGATGATTTAGTTGGGGATTGGTCCTGCTTTGAGCAGGGGGTTGGACTAGATGACCTCCTGAGGTCCCTTCCAACCCTGATATTCTATGATTCTATGACCTCACTGAGCACGCTGTATCCTCACACAGTTCCTATATGCTGACTGGACTATGTGTGTGCCATCCCGGGGGTGCCAGGGCTGAGCAACCCCTTCCCTGCCACAGGGAGTCACACTTGCCAGAGCGGCTGTGGCGTTGTCTGCCAGGACTTGGAGAGCAAGGTCCTTCAGCTCGAGGAGAGACGCCCTGAAGGCCAGATTCATTGTTCTTGTTCTCCCAGGTTCTCCTGCTCATTGGGAGCCCATAGGTTCATGGATCTTATCAGAACGGGAGACCAGGCCTTCTGTGTGGTGACCTGGTCATGGCATGGCTCCTGGTGAAGTTGAGACAGGGAGGGCTCACCATGCCAAGCACAGACCCATGGCTGATGCATGTCTGGAGAGGATTTCAGGGTTGTGGGGTCACATCACACCCAGCTGAAGATGAGCAATGCTTCTTTCGCCCCGAAACCCTGAAATGTCTTTACCTTGAGAAAGTCAGTGCCACCCTTGGGGTGGACAGCTCCCGGATGGGCACTGGGGCAGCCAGGCTGACGCAGCAGCACGGGCGGACACAGCGCGGTCAGACTCAGACTTCCTGTGTCATGGGAGCCGCAGGGCTGACAGCTCCTCTTTTTCTCCCACCCTGGTTCCAAGGGGGAGGACCAGTACCACTATCCTCCCTTTGAACAGCACTCAGGCCTACCGTGACAGCAAGGGAGCTGGCTTCAGCAGAGCTGAAGTGGTCAGTCTTGGGAACTGTAAGCAACTCCCATGAGCTTCCCTGCTTTTGGTACCAGAGACTCAGGACCACAGGGTAGAATTCCCTGCTCACCAGGCACTAAGGGATTGTGTCTCAGCACAGGCTCAGACCAACAACCCACATCTAGGGCAGAGCTGCTGCCGATGCTCAGAATCCGGCACTACCCATCAGAACACTCCACAAGATGGCGCTTCCGGCAGCTGCTCTAGTATATCAAGCCCTGGCAGAGACGGATAGGCAACCCGAGCTTCTCTTGAGGACAGGGCCTTCACCTTGTGAGTCCATCCCCAATAGTCACTAATTCATCACACGAGGGGTCAGGTTTAAAGCCTTTGCCTCAGCCATGAGTTGGAAAAATGTGATCAGAGCCACAGGGACAGCCAGCAATAAAGGAAACTAAAGTCTGCCAATAAAGCAGAGAAAACTATCAAACGCTAACTGAGTAATGATCTATCCTAACCAGCACGAGCTAGAGGCGAAGTCTGACAGAAAAAAACAGCGCAGGGAGCAGGGGAAATACAATTGCCTTCCGACTCCCTGCCACAGGCAGTAAGAGTCGTGGTCACATTCCCACATGCCCTCCCATTGGCGGCAAAGGGCCCAATAGACTCTGCTGGCCAAAAGCCCCACACCACAAATCAACACTCGAAGAAAAAAATCACACTTATTTCACGGCTCATTAACCTGAGCACAACTTTAGCTAATTTAGCGAAATTCTTTTAAATTCTTTCCAGCAATTTAGGTATCTGTATACAGGACCTGAGAGTCGAGAGATTAAAAAGTAATGAAACTTACGCTCTGACGTCCCCTATCACATTTCTTGACTGAGCTGATCCAAGCAAGCAAGCTGCAATGCCCGACATTCTGTATGAAGAAAGCACAAGCAAGACAGGGTTCATTCATGTGAATTTGTTTCTTGCCTCTTAGCCAGTTTAGGATCTATGACAGTGTTTTGCCTCCCACCCCATGACTAGCCTCTTGTGAGGGACCTTATCAAAGGCCATTTGAAAGTCTAAATACATGTCAACCAGCTCTCATTTACCTCTACTTTACAGACCTATTCAGAGAATTCTAACAGATTAATGAGACTTAATTTTCCTTTGCAGAAACCATGCTGGTTAGACCCTATCATGCCATGATCTTCCAGGTGTTTTACTATTCTATTAATTATTGTATCAGCCAATATACCAGATGCAGATGTAAGGCTTATTGGTCTATAATTCCTTGGATCACCTCTAGATCCTTTAAAAATATATAGGTACAAAATTTGCTCCCATCCAGTAAAGTAGCTGTTTTTAATGAGCAATTCAGTATTTTTGCTACCGGCTCAGTCCCTTCATACTCGAGCTCTTTCAGAACTCTTGGACGGACACCACCTGGGCCTGGTGATTTATTGCTTTTTAAATTATCCATTTGTTCCAGCACCGGAACATGGACCTCATCCAAACTGACAGCTGAATTAGTGGGTGTCTGAGGCTGCAGAGATCAAATCTCTTCAGCGTCCAAAATTAATGAGCCAGTGGGCAGGTGGTGAATAAACAGGCACTCAGATTACATTGATGGGAGCAGTATAAATGTCTAGATAACAGGTTAGATACACAAACATAATCTGGCCAGTATCTGTCCCCAGGTGCTTGTGGGCAGCAAGATTAGTTTGTCCAGCCACTCACCTACATCATAGCCACTCATCTACATAATACCATAGTTTGCAGCAGAAAACAGCAAATATAAAGAAAGTTCTTAATACAAAAATTCCTTCTTTGGGAAAGGATTTTTCCGTGTCTGGTTTGCACAGGGTGGAAGAGACTGAGCCAGCGTAATTCTCCTTGAGAGTACATCTCAGTAATTTAGGGAAAATAATGGCACATGTATTGTAGTTATATAAAAAAGCAAGCAATATAAATCCAGAAAATTCAACATTAATATTAAATAGAACTTAAAGGCAGAATGGACTATTGTGATCATTGAGTCTGACCTCCCTTATAGCATGGGCCAGAAAATGTCACCCAGTGATTCTTAAACCTGGCCTATAAAACTTTTAGAAAGACACTGCATCTTGATTTAAAGACTTCAAGCGATGGAGAAGCCACCACATCCTATGTAAGTTGTCCCAGTGGTAAATTACCCTCCTGGTTAAAAAACTGTGCTTTAACTGTAGCCTGAATTTGTCCAGCGTCAGCTTCCAACAACTTCTGGCTCAGGGTCTGAGGTATCCCTCGTGCACTGTTCTAGGAGGTGGCATTTTAAGAGAGATTTCCTTGACCTTCTGGTCCAAGTAAAACAGGAGCTGAAGACTGAACCGCAAGAGGGCCCATGAGATCCCCTCAAGCACAAATGGCGTCTGCGGTGGCCATCAGTCCAGGGAATCAGCCCATGACCAGAAGGGCAGAGTTCGAATCTCAAGGGCTTAGAATCTGCCATAAGGGCAGGAAGGTGGGAACATCTGAGGAAAAAGACTCACTGGACAAAAAAAAAAAAGGGGACCAGAAGCTGCCAAATGAGCAGAACTACGTTTAAACTAACTAACTATAACCTAATCTTTAACGTTAACGATGTATTATTTACAAGACATTCTCTAATTATTTACTAGCGGGGAAGACACTGGTGAGTTCTGACTGCCACCGGGGGCAGGAGGGAACAGAGGTGGGTGCAGCCACACTGCTCTTTGTTCCCAAGGGTGAAATGGTGAGCGCGAAGGCAAGAAGGATGTGTTGGATCCTCCATCACTTGACGACTTTAAATCACGATTGGATGTCTCCTTCTTAAAGATCTGCTCTAGCTCAACTAGAAGTTATTGGGCTGGATGCTGGAATCACTGGGTGAGGTTTTCTGGCCTGTGGTATGCAGGGGGGTCAGAGAAGATGGGCCTAAGAGTGAGTGTCAAAGATGGAGCCGTTCGCACCAACAAATGGCAGATGCAGCATCCGTAGGTTTCTGTAGGGACATGGCACCTGCCTGCTACGGTTATATTACTTACTCAAGCTGCAGCACTTGGTCCTCCATCAAAGAAATAAGAGGAGAGATGACTATTCCTGTACCGCCCGTGTAAATGGGTGGAAACTGGAAGCACAAGCTCTTCCCATATCCTTAAAGAGAAAACATACCTCTAACAACAGAAGTATTAAATACCTGAAACTCTAATTCCTCCCCAAAGTCTCATTTCACGTCTCACTTTCCCCATTAGTGTACTTCCTAACACTCAATCAATCCATGCAAGACAATTTTTAGACCATGTTCCCTACAAAGCAATCATAAAAGAAGCTTACATATGTTCCTTTTAACATAAGATGTGTACTTACCAGTTGCCATGACAACGAGATTATCTCTTCTGTCTTGTAAAACAGAAGAGATCACTTTCCACTGGACCCTTGAAATTAAATACATATTAATTTTTATTTGCCTATAAGGAACTGTATCTTCTGCTACTATATAACATATCTGGCATCCACATGTGTAACATTAGAATTTAAGTAAAACTGTCAGTTCAATAAAACCACAGTTGAAACCACCTTAGTATTCTAGGTGTGCTCCCTCTCCCCACACACTACTTACAGCCAAATGGTGGTTGTTTTTCTCCTACAAGAAGTCCCACTGAAGTCATATTGGGACTACGTGTAAGATTAAGGCAAGCAGGATTTGCCTCAATCATTAGTTGGGGTTGGTCCTGCTTTGAGCAGGGGGTTGGACTAGATGACCTCCTGAGGTCCCTTCCAACCCTGATATTCTATGATTCTATGATTAATGGAAGACTACAAATGCAGTAGAGATGCCTAGTAGGTTATTAAAAGCTGATCTTCAAATAGGTTTATCAATTTTTTTCACCACAACAGGCAGAGAAATGCTACACTGCTGCCAAACACAGCTTTGGTCCTTTTTGTGTGCAACTAAAGATAGGGTATCAATGTAAATAAAATTGAGAAAAATCCAAATTTGCCTTATTGTGTCTCAGAATTTACCAAATTGATTTTTCCCCAAGGCAATTTTTCATAAAATTTACTCCATAAGCATTGCAAGCCATACGGCATTTTAAGAATTATATTTTATCCTATTTATATTGAAAATAAGACCATATAATGATCTAACACTGATAAATTTTAGATGTGTTGCAGTGCGCAGAAGTCATACACTTTACTGGAGAGACAAGGTGGGTGAGGGAATGTATTTTATTGGTCCAACAGAAGATATTACCTCACCCACATCTAATATCCTGAGACCAACACAACTACAGCAACACGGAAATATGCACATCATTGCTCCTAGGTTACCAAGTAGTTGCTACATACCGACGGTTAAATTACTACATAATATTCTAGGCAATTTGTTATAGGATGTATATAAACCAATACTGCATATCGGTTACGAGGCCTTAGAAATCTATCCTCTGTATCCCAGCACTGTTTGTAGAGCTATCTGTTTATCACTGCCCTTTGTGCATTACCGCACTCTGTTCTTCCACAATGTGTGTCTAACTGACAAATACAAAAAAAAAAAAACCACCTCAGTTATGAAGTTTACTGTGACAAGAGTTAGTAATTTAAATTTTTTGTTGTTTGAAATATTTTGAGGTATCTACAGTGCCTTTGTTATTTTAGTGTAACACCTTAATTACCCGGGCCTGCTAAGATAAGTGACAAGAACATGGATGTCTACTCTATAAGTGCTTTGATATCGGTACCTCACTATGAGATTTACTTTGACAGCTCCTCAAGGTAGGGGTTGTGCCTTTTTTGTGCGTCTTTTACAACACTAAGCTTACTGTTGGCACTTATCATAAGAAAATCATTCTAAATTAAACAAAAGATAGGAAACTGGACACATACATAATATAATTGATAACACACTTACGGTTTAAAACTAGAATGTCCAAAATATGTCTTTAAGCACGTAACTTCTATTTCACTAGGTACAGGCAACAAAGGATCTGAAGGAAAAACAATGCATGCATATTTAGCTTTATTAGAAGTGAAAAGCCATGGACTGAAAGAGATTAGGAAGTTTGTTGCTATTCATTTCCTGGGCCCTGGACTCACGCAGCTCTAACACGAAAGTCTAGCAAATTTGCAAAACACTGTTTGGAATAAAACCATGAATCTCTTTCTTCATGCCAAGTTGATAAGATTACTTCTCTCAACCTATATAACCCTATGAAATACTAGCAACCAATAACCTTAGCATATTCTTGCCAATTTCTATTTGCAACACGTCAGTTAAATATAACTCCTTGGAAATGGCTGGGGTGGGGTCAGGTAGTTAATCTGGAGACTGCCTAGCAGAAGGGAAGATTTCAGGGAGCAAGGGTTGGGCAGGCCAGGACTCACTTCGGCAACACTCCCCACGTGCCCTGTCTCCACATAACCAGTTCCCAACCATTGGGTCAAAATCACCAGGGAGAAGACAGACCAGCCAGGATCCACAGATGGAGTCTTCAGGGAGCTGTGAGGCGGATGTGATGAGAGGAAGACAGGCTGTGCAGAGGGCATCAGTTTGGGACAAACGATTCCCCATCCCATCTACCTTGTTCTGAATATGTTTCCAGTTTTAGTTTAGAAGGAGTCACCTACATTTAGCCAAGGACAAAATTTGACTCCAAGTTATCTTTTGGTCTCATTAGTATCAGTGAGCACTACTTCAGAACTTCAACGTTTGCTTGGTGTCTGCATGAGCAGTAAACTAAACAGAGGGCTTTACGTGACCTTCCGAGTCTGCTTCTACACACAGTACAGAGTTACTGTCAATTTTTACTCATACTTCATAGTGTAATTCAGTATTTACCCCAACTCTCCTCTTCCTCCTCCTCAATGCCTTCATCTTCATCATCATCTGGAGAAAGGTGTAATTTTGTGCCATCAAGTCTCTTGGTTTCAATGGAGGTAGAGTCAGTTCGACTGACTTTAGAATTATCTACATCTTCTATAGACTGAAAATTGGAAGTAAAAAGTTAACCCCTATTGCATGAAGGGGAAATAATAATGAACAAAACCTGCCATTTTGTTTGAACCAATATTGCTCAAGGGCACACGAATTCTACTCTAATTATGGCTTGGCTCAGATCCTTCAGCATGAGGCACAAAGAAGATCAATCTTGTGAGAAACTGCCATTATTAGAGGGCAACATAGGTTCAAGTGTTATTGTTTTAATCCCACTAAATGTTACCTTTTATAAGAGGAGGTTACTTACCTGTAACTGGAGGTTCTTCAAGATATGTGAACCCTATCTGTATTCCAACACCTGCCCTCCATCCCTTCTACTGACATACTCAGCGACGATTGGAATACATATAGGGAACATCACTCGAAGAAGAAATGGTTATTCTCATTTGCCAATTACATGACATTCTCTCCAATCCTTCCTCTGAGGCTGTCTTTCAAAATTTTAAAAACATCATGTTGAGTTTTAAATAGCTTCTTTCAGGACGTGTGATTAAACTGCTGGGCAACAGCTTTCATTTCTGATTCTCTCTCTTCCTTTGGGATTCTGTTTTGTGAATTTGATTGGGAGAGGTAGGAACTGAGGTTTTATGGAAACTTGTTCGTTTCTAATGACTTGAAAAATAGATGGAGAAAGGATGCAGTTCCTGATGTGATGTGACATTCAATGGGACAAGTAATATAAGAAAAAGCTTGAATATTTTAGCAGTGTGGCCAATTTTATGTTCTTATCAGGAAAGCGCTGTTTAACTTTCATTATGTGAGTAGTTCAATGGGATGGTTCATAGGCTTAATTTGAAGCCTGCGCTTAAGGGCTTTGCTGGATTAGGGCCAGAATGAGGGGGAGAGAATGAGTATGACAGGATGATTTCTGATTTTTGTCAAAAATATTTAGAATATGCTGGAAAAAACCCCACACTATAATAAAGAGTCTCTTTCCCCTTTCTCTTCCCCCTTTCTCTTCCCCCAACCAAAGTGACTAGCAACTACCTCAATGAGGGAAACAAACATTATGGCACCTACTTTAAGCATCTCCATTTCCAGTTCTTCATCACTTTCAATGACACAACCAAGATTTTGTTCATTCTCTCTGGAATATGGTTCCTAAAGGAATATTTCAAAATAAGCCTTAATTTCACTGAAAGTCCACCACCCCTCTATTCCTCTACTAGACACATTATTTATATGGCATTCAAGGGTTAGTTGCAGATAACCCTTCGCTAAACAATGTGGTCTGGACCCTTCCCATAGTAAAACATGTTTGGAAAAATTTTAGGAGAACACAGCAAATTTCCATAGAAGTTTAAAGATTCCGTTTAACCTGGATACAGACAAACCACACAAATGAAAAGAAAATAAAGTAAAATCAATTACAGAAACTAAAAGGAATCTAGCCCCATAAAAGAGAAGTCCCTAAAAGGGCTACAATTTATGAACTCTGTAGTCCAAATCGTACCCTGTAAGACACCTGCACATCTCCAGTGACTACAATGGGAACTGTGGAGGTATGTCCAGTGACAGAATTTGGCCCGGTACCCCCTAAAATTCATATTGTAAACATATTATTCACAGTAGAAAGAGTGAATCTAGAGTTCGTGTATGTAGCGAAGTAACAAGGATCTAAGTGGTAGTGATGCTAAAGAGAGGCTCAGAGATCGACAAGTTTCATGGATATTGACCAGACTAAAGCTTTAAATTCAGCTTTGGGAAAGCAATTCAATATCCCTTCCTCTCTCACATATCAACTGTCACTCTGTGAGTCAACTCTTTAAAATCCCTTGGTAAATTAACAGTAAGATCACTTTTCCTGGTAATGTTCATCATTTGTATGGATTTTAATCCATTACCTCAGGCAAGGCAGCGTTTAGAATTTCTTCGTTGGCCTTAAGTTCCAACATTTGAAGTTCATATTCAGTAATGTCCAGTGACATTAAGCAGTCTCTGTCTGTATTCTCCTTAGATCCTCTGTCTGCAGTTCCATCTTTCTGCTCAGGCTTACTAAGTTCCATTTCCCCACCAGTCACGTCTCCCTCACTGACACTCAGTAACGTATCATCATCTAGGTCATCATTTAAATCATCTTCAAGTCTTGTAGGAAATTCAAGTGTTTCGGTCTTTTCTTCTTCAACAATGGTAGGCACAACTTCAGATTTCATTGGAGCTGCAACACAGCTGCTCCCCAGCTCTGCTTGAGAGTTGGGTTCACCAAGCAACATGTTTCTTAAGGCACATATATTTTCTGATACACCAGTTAATATTTCTACAGCTCTATTAGGGGAAAAAAAGGAGAATTAAATGAAGCTGTAAATAAATGTTATTATATATCTTACCAGTGGCTTTTTAAAGGCAGTTCTTGCCGTTAATGATAATTCTAACATATAGCAAAATAACCCCCCCCTATTTCCTCAAAACTTCATAGATGCAGGTTCGTTGTTCCAGCTGGAAAAATGCATACAAAATTTTCCTCAACCAAAAATCAATATACAATACCTATATTTCTGGAGGGAAAACAGTTTTCATCATGCAGTTACGCTGCTTAAATATATAAGCTCCGGGCACCAGAGGTTCCAACTCAGGCCATGCAGTGGTGAGAAGGAACAGGAAGGGCAGTCAGTCTGTCCATCCCTTTTATCCTCGGTGTGGAGCATGAGGAGGGCAGGGGTCAGACATGAACCAACGGACACTGCTTGCAAGAATTCTCCAGTCTCAGGCACATGGAGCACACCCGTACCCACCACGGAATACACATAGGAACCAGCACTCAAAGAAGATCTGTCAACTTTGGAAGTGCCTATGCAGCTATGAACAAACGTTTTCAGCTCACAAAGACAAAGTAAGTATCAATCAAGAAGACTATTTTAGCCTGGCTGGTGTACTGTGGGATTATCTCAGACTCAGCTGGAAATCAAGAAGTTGACGGGGTAAAGAAACTTTCAGATGCAAATTATTAGGTAGTCAATAGTAGTCGTCATTGTCAGTTTTTTGTACTGGGATTGTAAGAGAACTAACTGATTGTGGCCTCTTGACTCTCTGAAACATCATGTTGGGTCCTCAAGCTGAAGAGGCCGGACATCCCTGTAATAGAGTATCAATGCGCAGATGACATTCTGCCCTACATCTTTTCCCATCAGGCCTAGATGGAACCATTTCTATCAAGCTATTAACGATCATATTTAAACAATGAACGGTAAGAAGCAACCTGAAACTAGTAATCAGCTATGTAAACTAAAAGTTGTGCAAGACCATCTTTCCTAGGCAACAGCCTATCCTGAGACTCAAAGAATTCCCAAACACACTGAGTAGAGGTACGTCCCACCTTGATTAGAAGGCTAGTTGCATTAAGTATCCAAAACTCATTGGTCACTTGAGCAATTGTTTAAGGTAGGCTTTGTCACAGTTCCAGGGCTCACAGGCTTCCCTTCAGATTATAAGAGTCCTATAGAACATGGCTGGCAGTGCTAAACCACCAATCCTCTGCTATTACACAAGGAAAAGTTGCATCCTTGTATCTGGGAGTAGAAAAGTGAAGTTTTCTCATGGACTGAAGTTTCTTTAAAAGGGGGGGGGGTATACACATTGTGAGGGGTGCCCCAACAAGCTCTCATGGGGTCAGCCAGCACTAACAAGACAGACCGCAAGACTTGCTCTGCCTGGATTCACAAAGCTTAAAAAGGGAAAGCCTGCCACAGGAAGGGTGGTGACTAGGGGAAGACTGCTATGCCTTGGATATAGCTGGCAACAGAGACAGTTGCAGGGGGAGGGATAGCTCAGTGGTTTGAGCATTGGCCTGTTAAACCCAGGGTTGTGAGTTCAATCCTTCAGGGGGCCACTTAGGGATCTGGGGCAAAAATCTGTCTGGGGATTGATCCTGCTTTGAGCAGGGGGGTTGGACTAGATGACCTCCTGAGGTCCCTTCCAACTCTCATATTCTATGATTCTACTCTACCATCCCTGAGACTATACAGACCAGGTATAAAGTGAGGATTACCAAAAGGAGGAGCAGGAGGCAGACCCTAACTCAGATTAAGGACTCCAGAGCCTTCAGGTAAGCCAAACCATCTCCCAGGCCAGGAAGAGGGAAAGGAACTTGTTTGTTTATTTTGTTTGGAGAATCCCTTGTATGCCTTACGCCGGAAAAGGACTCTTAGCAGCCTATATTGTGGTCTGGTGGGAACACCAGGAGGCCCTCGCCCACCACAATATACACATGGATCTGTAACTATAGATAGGGTGCACTGGATTAGATACCATCAGTACAGATATAAGAACATACCACTGACAGGGATTTCAAAGATAAAGAGGAAGCAGATTTGAGCAACATCTAACCTCTGCATATTTTTAAGTTGTCCAAAAGTGCTGGGAAGACCATTAGCCAGCTCCACCATTTCTTCAGCTAATGAGGACAGTTGCTTCTTGACTTCATTTGGCAACATCTCCCCATCTGAAAAACTCAATGTCAGTGAAGTTTCTTTACATATAACTCACCTCTCTTCTCTATGCATACGCAAATAAGCTTACTAGATCGTTATTGACTCAAGAGAAACAGTGGTTGCTATAGTTAATTATAATTATAGTTACAGTTAATAGCTTTGTCTAGTTCCCATTTTCGGAAGCAGCCTGACAAGGTGCTGCACAGTGAGGGGGAAGGGGAAAATGGGACCCAGCTGGGACAAACCATCCCTACCAGCACCATCCAGACCCAGAACTGCACAGAGGTTACCCCACCTCTTCCTAGGGGCACCAGGACTCATGCAGCACTCCCTCCCCTGAGCCATGAGGAGCCAGCCCAAAGAGCCAAAGAAATTCAGCAGGAACAGACACAGAAGTAGCCTCCCAAGTATTACCAAAGGGACGAGCAGATACCAACCATCGTCATCATACAGTCTTGACTCTAGACTTTCTCTGCCCTGTGCTGATGGGTTGCTTGTTCCACCCCCTCACTCACAGACTCTTCACTTTGAGCCAATGGGAGACACCGTGTCACAGCACTTTTGAGATGTCAGGCCACTTATGTATGCTCCTCCGCATGGAATTAGGAGTCTAGCTTTAAGCTCCTGTTTTTTAAGAATCTGGACATAAGGCTCTTTGGGACAGGAAACTTGCTTCATTTAAACAAGTCTGAGTACATGTACATGCTATTGCGCTACAAACAAAGTGAACAGCCCGCACATTTCAACTAAATGTTCTTAGGCCCAGATCCTATAAAGACTTATGCAACTTTAAACATGAGTAGTTCCATTGACTTTAGTATCATAAACTAAACTAAAAGGTGTTTAATTTGTTAACGCTCATAAAAAGGGAGCAACCATGCAGCTGAATCATGCACAAGCTGCAAATATAGAGACATCCGCTAAAAGAGGTCACAAAAATTAAGCCTTGTGATCAAGAAGGCAGCATTGCTGCTGCATGGTCATCACAGGGAAAATAAGGGTACAGCCTGCATAGAAAGAGAATAAAACCTTTTCCACACGGCTTTCCCTGGTCAAAAGCAACACTAAGATTTTTAGCTTAACTCATTACTGATGTGAAAATGGGAGCTAAGCTCTTCTGAAAATCTGGGCATATATTTAGGTACCTAAATAGGAACTACTGGGTAACAAGCTTTTTAGAAAATCTGGACAAGTTCTCTAGCTCGGCGGAAATGAAGCAAAATCAGCTGTGACATTTTCCATTAAATCTAATAACCTATATACCAAAAAATTCAAATGCTGTGTGCCCCTAGGACAAAGCGGAAGTTTACAGTTTGCTGGTATTCCATGGGATATTTACATCTCCTGAGCTATGAGGAAAAAAAGACCAGCTCTGGCAGATCTCACTCCACGGCAGGTTGAGAAGCAGGAGACACTATGGTATTTCCATCTTTCTCACAAATGCATGAGATGGCACTGAACATGCTGTAATTCAAAAGGTGGCCAATAGTTTATTCAAGCATCTGACCCTATTACGGTGTGGAGTAACAAAAGTAAGTGAGAGTGAGCTCTCTTACCAGCCCCCTCATAGAACTTAGCCACACACCACAGAACGATGAGACTGTGCTCCCCTGTCACTTACTGCCCCTTTTTGAAAACACTCAGATACCCAGGTGATACAGGTGAACAAAGAACCCAAATAGAATACTCTCACTGCAAGCGGTCTCTAAACCCCAAACAGTTCAATGTCCAATTAGAAAAAACACACATTCTTTATGCTTTTAATTTGCAATTTACCATTTTTTATACTATAGAGCCTCTGATCACAGTTATTCATATTTTCCAGTTTTTGGTAAATGAGGAGGCCTGCCTGTGAAGAAAAGCAAAACAAATTTAATGCTTCAGATTCCATACAGATCACATATTACATTTTTTTCCTTCCATGGCTGGAAAAGCCGAAAACAAACTGAACAGGCTACAAATTTCTTCTCCAATCCAAGATGTAAATTCAGTTTAACACTAAGTGAAGGATTTTTGTTCCAAACAATGTCAATAATGCAACATTAAGTTAGAGAACTCAATACAAAATACAATTTAGCCTAACACTTTCTTAAGGTAAAGTTAAGGGTGCAGGAACATATCAATGATTTTAGTGAACATTACCTCAAGACATTAGAGGTGTGTTCGTTGATTTTTTAAACAGTTAGAAACACAGCAAATGCTGAGTTAAACTCTTGCTAAACAATGCACCCAAAATGCCTTTGCTCTACACCCATGGGCCCAGTCAGATCGACACACAGGCCATGTCTACACTACCGGCTAAAATCGACACTGAAGTCTTCCGGGGGGTACTCAACTCATCTAGATATTTGCCTAGTTTTACAACAGGCTACATAAAAAGCACTAGTGAAGTCAGTACAAACTAAAATTTCATACAATTACTTGTTTAACCTGCTCTATACACAATACACTCACATGTAAGTACAATATTTATATTCAAATTGATTTATTTTATAATTGTATGGTAAAAATTAGAAAGTCAGCAATTTTCCAATAACAGTGTGCTGTGACACTTTTGTATTTTTATGTCTGATTTTGTAAGCAAACAATTTTTAAATGAGGTGAAAATTGGGGGTACTCAAGACAAATCAGACTCCTGAAAGGGATACAGTGGTCTGGAAAGGTTGAGAGCCACTGGATTATGGCACAGCTAATACATTAGTATCATCTGCCTCGTGTTCCATGGCACACAAAACGTGGGCAGACCATGTCCTCTATTTTCATTTAATAAAGAGCCTCATAGATATCTACAGTGCTCTATAAAATACTAAACAGAACTACAACAATTACTGTTCCTGGTAACCTCCTGATAAGTCTCGTAAGTGAACTCAAAGATATATATAAATCTCTGGTTCACTGCTCATCTCCAGGTATATTAGAAAAAGCAACATTTACTGAGAATGAGGAGAACTGTACTTTGGTCAATAAGCAACTTCACATAGAGTGAGGCTTGGACTCTCAGTCTTGGAGCTGCTGTTGAATAGGCTCTTCCTTGTGCCTTGTTCAAGGTTATACCTAAATGTTGTATAAAACCATATGCTCCTTCAGCTCATCTCAGTAAGGAGACAGACTACTGCATTAAGCACCAGCTGTAACTTCTTTCCACATTTTGCCTAAACCCAGGGAGAGAGAATTGCAATAGTCTAGCCTGGAAATGCTGAACCACAAGCCACTGTGGCCAGGTCATTGTTTGAGATGGAAGTATTATGATGTATATGAATTTGATGCTACTGAGAACAAGTACTCCAAGTGGGCACCTCTCCCCACCTACCCCGGCCTGATGGAGTGAGAGGCCTGTATGGGCCAAAGGGGAGGAGGGCAGGGTTTGGGGAGAGGGAGAGTCAGGCTCCCGGGTTTGGTTGGTTTCATGAATTTCCCCGGGAGAAGAGGGAGAAAGCATTGGTATAGGGGAAAGATGAGGTGCTGAGATGTGAGGGGAGTCCCTGGGGTAGCTGGAGGGAGTCGTGGGCAGAGAAATTCTATAAAACTGACATGATATTAACCTCCTTTGCAAAGCACTTTGAGATCTATTGATGTAAAGCGCTAGATATTGTAATTACTTCATTCCCATATGCAACTGTTCAGTGAAGTAAGACCTTTCCACTCCTCCATTTGTCCCCCATCCCCTTTTCTAATGAATAATTAAGCATTGTTTCCAAAACTAACAGAACATTTATTTGATTGGATATTATGCCTGACTGAATGGGCTCTTGCTATTTCTCTGAGGGATAACTTTTCCTGCTAATAGACTGTGTCCTTAGTGTGCCAAATGATAAACATTTATATTGGGATGGTATCATTTCTGGTCAGGACTTGACAAGTTTGATATTTTTCTTTGCCATTCCTATTCTGATCCACAGAACTGAAGTTATTATTGAAGATGCAACGAGTCTTTAAAGCAATGCTGCTGTTTAGGCAAATTTAATCCTAACTTTTTTAATTTTATGGGTTTATACTTCTAAACTGTACAGTTTTATAGAAGTATTCACAAATCAGACCCACTTGGAGAAAATACCTTGGAGAACAGCCTCCAGTAAATACATGGGTTAAAATGCAATCAAGAACTGACAGTAGCCTACACAATGTGTCAGGGGCCAGCCTGCAAAGAACCACTCTTCTGGCAACCTAATGAGTGCAGCTGGCCCTGATTGGCTGAAGGCGTCAACTGCACCACTTGATTGGCTGAAGGAGTCAACAGGCTGATACTTAAGCTCAGGAGCTGCTCCACACACTCCTAACCCACAGCTGCGCTTACCTGCCTTCACTGTCTCTAGCCATTGCCTGCACGTGCTCCTGCTCCCAGATTCTTCCTGACTTCTGATTACCAGCTCAGACCCTTGGCTCTGCCTTCTGACTGACAGTGGTTCACCCTTCGGCTTAGGCTTTGGTTTGACACCCAGCTACAACCCTTGGCTTCGCTCCTGTACCCACGCTGTCTGGATTCAGCTCTAACTGGTAGGCCGGACTCTTGCTCCGAACTCTCGGCCAGACTACCCACAGCTCAGTCACCGATACTATGAAGCTTTATAGAGTGTTTTGCGGGGCAAAGATTTAATACTAACAATTTTGTTGCGAGGAATCTGAATTACAGGATTGGTGAGTTCCACTGCAGCAAGACATTAAAAAGGTCGGCAAATAATGTATTAAGAGGAATGAAATAGTTAAAACATGGAGTGGAGCTCTCTATTTGTACCCACATAAGCGTCAGTGGCTGCATACAACTTCTGCTCCTCGCTGAGTGGAAATGCTTCCCAGTTACTACAGCGGACAGACTTGTCCTTCAGAAGCTGCTTGCTGAACAGATGTTTTACCAAGCCATTTAGACTCCATATCTCCTTACACTTCAGCTAAAAATAAGAAATATTTATTAAGTTCAAAATAATTGTACATGGTAAAAATAATTCTCAGAATAAGGTAACAAAGCTGATTCAACATCACAAGTGGAGACTCTGAATAGATCATAATTAACTCATTCCTCAATAAAATGACTGACCTACAAATGTACAACTTGATTCTGCTCCCATCAGAGCCAATTGCAGTGTTACAACCGAAAAACTACAGCATTTGTGCCCTGACACAGTGTTCCCTTCTTGCCAACTAGATTGCTGCATCAGGGCACCATCAGCATATGCAATGAGAAGTTGGTGTCCACAGCATAGCAAAAAGGAGAAATACACCACACAAGTGCTCAATACAGGTCATTTTAAAGCACTGACTGTAACCCTTCCACTTCACCATCATCTTAAAAGGCTTTTATGGTGCTTTCTTGAGATGATGCTGTTCCCATTTACCGGTCATTGTTTCAGCCTCCCAGCACATGGTTTCTGGTTCTACTAAATGGTGGTTTCCCTGAGTTTAATGTGGCATGGTTCTCTCAAACCAGGTTCAAAGGCACAGCCTTCTACTAAGTATTAAAACTTCACCTTAAGATTTTTTAATTTCTGTATGCCATGCCTATAACTAGGAGAAGTAAGTGTGGTCAGAAGTTATGTTCTCTACATCTGTATTCTAGCAATATGACATTAGGCCAGTAGAGACCAAAATAATTCATTCTTATCCCAGATATAGAATCCTTTGCTCCCTGAGCCAAGCTGTCTAGTACATAGGTATTTCCCAATGCAACCAGATGCATGAATACAAACGTATGTGCACATCTGGATTTGATATCTGAAGGTTTAATCAATAATTACCAACATCTATGTTAGGGCTCTGGATAGAGGTTAGAATAGTAAAGTTTTATGCTGGTGGGACAGAGAAAGGGGCAGATGTAATGGTCAACGCTCAGACTTGAAAATGGGAACTGCATCAGTTGTAGTACTTTGGGGAATTTAAACACTATGCATTATGCTATCTGACAGTCATACAGGGAACAGAGACAAGGAAGTACTCTCCAACACGTTAATGGGCCCTGCTCCAAGAGAGAATGATTATTCAGAATGACAGGGAGTAAAACCTAGGAACTGCCAGAGAGCAGCAGACACATAGCCCACCTAGCCCAGTGTTCCAGCTCCAATAGAAGCCAGCACCAGATGCTTCAGAGAAAGATGAAGGAAACCCCACAGTGGGCAGATGGGAGATAGTCTGCTCCCCCATCAGGTATCATTTCTTGGTCTCGAATAGTTAGAGATTGGCTTAAGCCCTGAACCATGTTTAAAATCCCTTTCCAACACTGTTTTTATTAGTGTTAACTCCTATAATGCTGCATATTCTTGTTATCCATATAAAACTGTCCAATCCCTCTTTGGGCCTTGATAAACTGCTGGCCTCAACAACTCTGCTATATACTGAGCAGACACCTTCAATGAAACATCTACTATGACACCCTTTTCTGAGTTGATACAGTTAAACTACCAGTATATTTCACAGACTTCTAAATGTTACCCTCCATCGTGTATTACTTTGCATTTATCCACATTGGCTTTTATTTCACATTGTGTTGCCTTTTCACCTAGCTTGGTTAGGTCTCTCTGAAGTTCCACACTGCTCATCACTAACAAATAACTGTGTCATCTGCAAATAGTGCTACTTCAGTAATCACTCCCCCTTCCCAGATTGGAAACAAAGAGTACATCCAAAAAACCTACATTAAAATGCCACTAAGGGTACAAAGTCAAGCACTCAAGTTAGGAAATGCCAGTATTAAGGTTTCCATTGGAACCCTAGTTCATCCCCTTGTGTGTATGCATGATGATACAGTCTGTAATTACATGAGCCCAATAATATATTTTCTACAGGACCCTGCCTCGTTTAATCTCCCCTCCCTATATGCTGCTGCCTCCGCCCTGCATGTTTTCCCCTACCTCCTCACCCTTGTTCCTTAATTCTCTGCCAGTCAAGCAACTTGCTCCATATATTTATGCCTTCATCTGTAATTTTCACTCCATGAATCTGAAGAAGTGGGGGTTTTTTACCCACAAAAGCTTATGCCCAAATAAATCTGTTAGTCTTTAAGGTGCCACCGGACTCCTCGTGTGTTTTTGTAAACTTTAAGAAGACTCCACCGAGCATGTGCAAACTGAGATTTTCCAAAAGCTTACAACTTGGTCAAATTAGGGTGAATTTCAGAGGAACAATAAAAGGCACATTCCTGACACCCTGTCAAATTTTGAGCCTTTGCTCTGAAGCCTGGAGGCAATAGAGCTGCTCAATGAAGCAGCTGTAAGAACTTTAACTTGGATAAATTAATGCGTTTTCCCCAAACCTCATTCTCAGGAACAGCTGAACCATTCTAGCTAAAACTCTCCAAAATAACGCAACCTTAGGCAAATGCTCAGCATAGAAAATTTCAGCCCAAGATTCCAAGTGAAATCTTGGAAAAAAAGTGTTGGGGGAATGTTAACTATAGGCACACTACCTGCACCACCTGCAAAATTAAACACTGGACCCACTATGGAACCTAGAGTCATGCCACTGTCAACCTTTCATCATGAAGAAAACTGGCCATTTATTCCTACTCTTTGTTTTGTGTCTGGATCAAAAACCAGCCAGGAGAGAATTCTTTGCCTCTTCCCCGATGACTAATTTAGTGGCTCATGTGGGACACTATCAAAGGCCTTTCAACAATCTAAATAAATCTGTATCAACAATAGAGGTCCCACCCCACAGTCTGACAGCCTCTGTGCTATTGAGAAGCATGAAAGTCTCAAGCAAAGAACATCAAGCTGAAGCAGAGGGAAGTGATCCCATAGTTGGGACCCTCCTACCAGCTGATCTCATGGTATCCTCTCACACTGAGGAGGCCTCTCTGGGGGAGGGGATCCCTGTTATTAGGAAGAGACAAGTAATAGCAATGTTGGATTCAATATTAGAAATATAGACAGTTGGGTTTGTGCGTGGATGAGACAGTGGTGTTGGAATTTTGATTTATCTGGAACTAGGGAACTTTGGGGGAAAGGAGGTGCTTATACAGGAAGGATGAGCCCACCTAAACCAAAACAGAACCAGATTGCTGGCATGTAAAATTTAAAAGGTCGTAAATGACTTTTTAAACGAAGGCTGGGGGAAAGCTGACAGGTGTGAAGGAGCACACGGTGCAACACAGACCTTAAGGGAGGATTTATTGAATATGCTACTCTATATCCTAGGAAAGAGAAGAGAAGTTGATAAAGTACAGATCACTGAAAATAAAAAACAAACACTCAAACGGAAAAGACTGCCATTCAATTGCAGCACAAGACGACAGACAACTAGATATTAGCATAAGTGCTTGTAGACAAATGCTAAAAGTCTAAATACTAAGATGGGTGAACTTGAGTGCCTGGAATAAAATGAAGATATTGATGTAATAGGCATCACAGAAACTTGGTGGGAATGATGGTAATCAATGAGACACAGTAATACTAAGATACAAAATATACAGCGATGAGAGCAGGTCACGCTGGTGAGAGAGATGCACTATATGTGAAAGAAAGCAGAGAGTGAAAAGTAGTGAAAATCTTATATGAATCAAGCAGTATCATGGAATCTCAATGAACAGAAATTCCATGCTTGAATAAGAAGAGGATAGCAGTAAGAATATACTATCTACCACATGCCCAGAATCACGACTGTCATTGTGAAATGCTCAAGGAAATTGGAGAGGCTACAAAAACAAAAAATGCAATATCACCAGGAGATTTCAACTATCCCCTACTGACTGGGAACATGTCATCTCAGGACAGGATGCAGAAATAACATTTCTAGACACCATTAAAGACAGCTTCTTGGAGCAGCTAGTCCTGGGACCCATAAAGGGAGAGGCAAGTCTTCATTTAGTTCTAAGTGGCGCACAGGATCTAGTCCAAGAGGTAAATGTAGTTGAACTGCTCCATAATAGCTACCATAACGTAATTCAATTGAACATCATTGTCGGGGAGAAAATACCAAAGAAACCCACCACAAGTAGCATTTAACTTCAAAAAAGGCAACTAAACAAAGACAAGGAAGCTAGTTATATTGACATTAAAAGGAATAGCCACAAGAGTGATAAGCCTGCAGGCTACACGGAAACTTTAAAAAAAATATCATCACAGAGGCGCCAACTATGTGTGTACCCCAAATAAAAGAAAATAAAAAAAAACTACACACACACACACACACACAGGCCCAAAAAGTGCCACCCCATGGTTACACAGCGAAAAAGAGGTGGTTAGAGACAAAAAGCATCCTTTAAAAATTGGAAGTCAAATCCTACTGCGGAAAATAGAAAGGCGCATACACTGTGGCAAGTCAAGAGTAAAAGCATAATCAGGCAGGCCAAAAAGAATTTGAAGAGCAATTCGCAAACTACAGAAAAACTAACAGAAAAAAAAAAAAATGTTAAGTACAGAAGAAGCAGAACACCTGCCAAACAACCAGAGGGACCACTGGTTGGATCAACGTGCCAAAGAAGCACTCAAGGAAGGCCAAACGAATACAGTAACTCCTCACTTAACGTTGTAGTTCTGTTCCTGAAAAATGCGACTTTAAGCGAAACAATGTTAAGCGAATCCAATTTCTCCATAAGAATGAATGTAAATAGGGGGAGTTAGGTTCCAGGGAAATTTTATATTATATATACATACATACATACATACACACACACACACCCCATACACACAGTATAAGTTTTAAACAAATAATTTAATACTGTACACAGCAATGGTGATTGTGAAGCTTGGTTGAGGTGGTGAAGTTAGAGGGTGGAGGAAGAGGGTGGGATGTTTCCCAGGGAATGCCTTACTTGCATCTGAAGAAGTGAGGTTCTTACCCACGAAAGCTTATGCTCCCAATACTTCTGTTAGTCTTAAAGGTGCCACAGGACCCTCTGTTGCTTTTTACTGCTAAATGATGAACTAGCATTCGGCTGAGCCCTCAACAGTTAACACATTGTTGTTAATGTAGCCTCACACTCTACAAGGCAGCACGAATGGAGGGAAGGGAGACAGCATGGCAAACAGAGACACACACTCTGAGAGAGAGAGAGAGAGAGAGAGAGAGATTTGCATTGCCCCTTTAAATATGCTGACACCACTCTAAGTACCTTGCCTTTTTAAGTAGATCAGCAAGTTGAGACAGCAGCTGCGGCCAGCAAGCCCCCTCCATCCTGAGCCTTGTCGTGTCCCCACCCTGCTCTATATGGAGAAGAGGTAAGCAGGGGCAGGAGCAGGGTGCAGGGGGACACCCTGACATTAGCCCACCTCTTCCCCCCCAGCACAGCAAGCAGGAGGCTCCCAGGAGCAGCTCCAAGGCAGAGAGCAGGAGGGACAGCTGAACTGCTGGCAACTGATAGCCTGCTGGGCAGCTGCCGCACAGGGAACTTAGGAGACTGGGGAGCTGATAGGGGGGCTGCTGGTCCACCCTGGTTCCAAGCCCCCACCGGGTATCTGCAACAGGCTGCTCTTCCTGCAAGCAGTGGACAAAGCAGGCAGCTGCCAAAGGGAGCATTGCGCAACTTTAAACAAGCATGTTCCCTAATTGATCAGCAACATAACAACGAAACAACGTTAGCCGGGACGACTTTAAGTGAGGAGTTACTGTACTTTCCATCAGTATTCACTGAAGAGGATGAGGGGGAGATTCCCACACCAGAGCCAGTCTTTTTAGGTGACAAATCTGAGGAACTGCCCCTTATTGAGTCAGTAAAGAAGGTTTTGGAACAAACTGATAAATTAAACAGTAATAAGTCAGCTGAACCGGACTCAGGCCTGATCCCTGTGGGACCCCACTTGATAAACCCTTCCAGCTTGACTGTGCGCCACTGATAACTACTCTCTCTGGGAACCATTTCCCAACCAGTTATGCACCCACCTTAGGTTCTTAACTGGTTCTCCTTTATCCACTACTTCACTCATATATTCAAAGAATTCTAACATATTAGTCAAATATGATTTTCCTTTGCAGAAACCATGCTAATTAGACCCAATGCTATTGTGATTTTCTAAGTGACTTCTTATTCTATTTCTAAGTATTGTTTCAACCAATTTCTCCGGTAATACTTAAGACTTTCTGTGGTCTGCAATTCCTCATATCACTCCTAGGCCAAGTCTACACTACCTCTGACTTCAGTACAACTTACATTCCTCAGGAGTGAGCGTAAGCCATCCCCCAGAGCGATGTAAGTTACACTGACTATGCTCCGCTGTGGACAGCACTATTTTTGGCAGGACAGCTTCTCCCGCCAACATAGCTACCACCTCTTGCGGAGATGGATTTATTATGCCAACAGGAGAGCTCTCTCCCATCAGCACAGAGCATCTTCAGCAGACACACTACAGCGGCGCAACTGTGCCAATGTAGCTTCTAGTGTAGACCAACTCCTAGAGTTTTTTATAGCTCTAGGTGCAACATTTGCTATTCTCCAGTCCTCTGGAACAGTAAGTGTAGAGTACAGACCCTTTGAAGAGCTCCATGATATTCACTGATTTTTTTTGTCTCTGAGATTTGTGCAGTCAGTTTAAGGCTAACCCTTTACACAAATTCAAAGATTTCTTTGAGATGAGTACAAGGTATTTGAAACACACATGCAAATTAGAAACAACAAGGAGTCTGGTGACACCTTAAAGACTAACAGATTTATTTGGGCATAAGCTTTCGTGGGTAAAAACCTCACTTCTTCGTATGCATAGAGTGAAAGTTACAGATGCAGGCATTATATACTGACACATGGAGAGCAGGGAGTTACTTCGCAAGTGGAGAACCAGTGTTGTCAGGGCCAATTCAATCAGGGTGGATGTAGTCCACTCCCAATAATAGATGAGGAGGTGTCAATTCCAGGAGAGGAAAAGCTTATGCCCAAATAAATCTGATAGTCTTTAAGGTGCCACCAGACTCCTTGTAGTTTTTGTAGATACAGACTAACACGGCTACCCCCTGATACTTGACAACATGCAAATTAGGAGGAAATTAAAAGTTGTTCATGGGATAGAAGGGATAATTTAATCCAATATGTTGTAAACATAATATGGTGATGTTTCAATCTAACTAAGTTTACATTCACCTTAACAATTTTTAGGGATTTTTTTTATTTTCTATAATAAAGTTTTACTCAAAGACAACCTGAGTTGCATTCAGTGACTTAGCAGACCGCAGCTCTGCCTGGTGCCCCAGAGAAAAGCAATCAACTCTGACTCTGAGGCGACTGAGTCAGGAAAAGGATAATGATCTAAGCAATGGGACAAATGCAAGGCAAATGTGGGGAACCCGCCCAGGGCAGATGAAATTCAGTGTTGATAAGGAATAATCTGAGTTCCTCATACCCTTAACTGAGTTCTAAATAATTAAACTGCATCAACTCTGGAGAATGACCTGGGCATCATTGCAGACAGCACAACGAAAACCTCTGGTCAATGTGCAACAGCAGTCAGAAAAATAAATAGGTGTTAGGGTTCATAAGGAATGGCATGGAGAATACTATGGAAAAATATTGTCTCGTTACATGAATCAATCATTTGTCCTCACCTGAAATGAGGTGATGGGGCATGGAAAAACCTCATCTATTAATTGATATTGAAAAGATTGGAACTCTTTACATCTTAGAGAGGGGACATGATACAAGTTTACAAAATAACGAATACCATAGGGATTGCGGCTCAGAAACTTCTCTTCACCCTCTCTCATAATACAAGGACAAGGAAATTGAAAGGAACTGAAACTGAAAGATGGCAAATTCGAAACCAATAAAAGGAGATACTTTTTCACACAATGAGTAATTGGACTATTGCATTCTGTGCCTCAAGAGATCACTGAGACAAAGAGCTTAGCGGGATACACAAAGGATGAAACATTTATATGGATAACAAAAATAGCTACAGTTTCGGAAGGTCATGCTTCATGGCATAAGCCAGCCCATAACTACTGGGGATAGAAGGAATTTTTCCCTGGGACAGGTTATCCCATAACTGCCAAGTGCAGAGTTTCTTGCACCTTCTTCTGAAGCATCTAGTACTGGCCACTGTTGGATACAGGACAATGGACTAGATGGACCTTGAGTCTGATCCAGTCTGGCAATTCCTGTTAGTAAACATAAAAGGGAATACAATTCAATTGATTTAAAAAAAAACCGATGTTCCAAATGGAACAAAATGGCCAGAAACTGAGCTGAGGAGAAAAAAAGATCTGTGGGAAAATCAAACATACTGTGCAATGAAAATACAGGCATTTAATACTGTAACTCTTACTTGAGTTCCTTCCAAATTCAAACACTTTAAGAAGTGTCACTTGGTAATATTTATCTCTGGTAATAGATCTACGGTGTCTGACTGGTGCCACATTTAGATTTCTATGAAAACAAAAACCTCCCTTTATTTAGCATAATAAGACCCCCCCCCCATGAAACTGAATTTTTACTTTTTCATTGGCGACATCAGCCAGCTCTACAAAGCTCTTCAGTTTGATTTCGAAGTCGTTCATCAGCTTCCACTGATCTCCTTCAATTCCTACTCCAACCTTTTTAACGGCTTCATCTTCAAGCAATCTTTTGAGTCCCTTGGGAAAACCTAAAACAGATTAAATCCAAATATAATCAACTATATGGCAAAAGCTGCCAGATTTTAATTTCATATAGAAATAGGTAGAATCCTATCAAGGATAAATTTGGGCAATCTACCTTTTTTTATAGTAATAGCCAAATGGTCACTACATCTGTATCTATAAAGCAGTCAACTTAGCCATCAAACAAGTGCATGTGATTTCTAGTATGGCACTTTAATGCCAAGGCAGGCCAGTCAGTTTATATTTTGTGCTAGCTGGAACTCCAACTGGTTGTAGTATAATTTCATCTGGAGGCAAGCAACACTGAAATTATGCAAACGTTTGGGTTTTTTTTCCTTATGGAAACAACAGATCAAAAAAAGACTTTCAATCCAATATTTACTTCTAAATGCCTCATTCACCAGCATGAATGGCAATCAGCAAAAAAACAGGAAACTGCTTTTGGAAAATAATTTCTGATCCATATAGCTGAATGATCACTAAAATTGAATGTGTTATTTCAATATTTTTCACATATTTACTCCCAAATTATTACACTGTATGCAGTTTTATGTTAACTTAAAACACAGGCAACCAGACACACAGGGACCCATTAGGAAAATAAATTTCGGTACATTACTAATATAAGAGTACTGTTCAAAGTACTTGGAAAAAAACACAGTTAGGAAAGTAGATTTCCCTGGAAACTCAGGTGGGTTGGAATAGCATACTAAAAGCAACTTAACCAAAAAACAAGCCAAGCAGAAGCGTTGCCGCCATCAGAGTACTCTGAGAAAGACATGATATTTGGGAGAAATCTGATACCAGGAGTAGGTCCTGCAGTGGTTGCCCAGTGGGGACAGCAAACTCTAAACAAATGGGGCAGGATCTTTAGAAGTACTGTACACCAACAGCTCCCAGTGACTCCAAGCAGGAGAAAGAACTGAGATGCATTTTTCACTGACAATCTAAATATAAATGAGTTGTGAGCAATTATATTCCTTCCTACAGCATTTGCCCAGACACAAGAATATGTGTCTCTCGGGCAAGGTCCTTTGCTATAAGTGCCAGTAACAATTACTGAAGGCAATGGGAGCTGTGGTTGCCTCCTCCCAAGATACAATTCATCATGTGCAAAGACCACTCCAAATATAGACACACCATCCTTTGGAAGGAGAGACCATCACCCACCCACAAAATTACACCCTGAAGAGCTTTTGCATTGTAGTGCCAAGTCCAAGATGTACACTGGGTTAGGACCAGACTAGTGTGGGTGGTAGGCCAACAAAGCAAGCCTGGAGTAAACCGAGAACTTAGATAAACTCTGAAAGGCCAAAAATGTGTAACTCAGATTCTCATATTTAAGTTTGAAATCATTCAGTGTCACAGAGCATTCTTTTTCATTTTTGACACAGAGTAACACATGCAAGAGAAAAACAGTAATATCTGTATTCCTCAGTATGGGTTCAAGAACATGCGCTAGAGTTCTCACACAGCATACAGAGTTCATGCTTTGGTGCTCTAAAATCCTGAATTTCCATCAAGTGGATCTCATAACAATACTGAGTCATAGAATATTTTTGAAGGTTACAGGGACTGATAGGTAAATGGCACAGACTAAAACATTCAAGCTTGGTTTACTACAGTTCAGCACCTGAATCAGGCTTTACATATTTAAACAGAAGTGGCCCATTCTCCACCAGATTTGTGGGTGCTTTGTATTCTGGACATCTTACCTAGGAACCTAATTATGATTTAAGGCCTGACTTCACGAACCCACATTTGACTATTCTGGCCATAATCTTTAAAGCCCTAAACCCCTTATAAATCTGCACCCAAATATATTCACACCTAGAAACTTGTTCAATTTCTACTGTCCAAACTTGAGCTTCGCACTAGCTTGATAAGTATTTGCAGACTCAACATTTCACCATGTGTGTATGCCTACATTTTATGATACAATCTTGGTACTTGTATGGTCCCCATTCTGAACAGACTCCAAAGTTTATGTTGGATTATTGTTCGTGGACCAGAGTTTATATTTAGGACTCTATACTCCCCTCAATTCACAAGGCATCTCCTACTGATATGAGTGGAAGGTTGGCAAAAAGATCCAGGATGTAACATACATCCCTTCAACTAGTAACTCAACTTTTATTTATCAGCATCCTATGTTCAATGTCATACCATTTATCATCACTCAGTGGGAAAATCTCTACCTTTAGGATCACCAGTATGTCTGCCCTTGTTTCTCTTCTTCCTCTATCCTCCTTTCATTAACAACAAGGAGTCTGGTGGCACCTTAAAGACTAACAGATTTATTTGGGCATAAGCTTTCGAGGGTAAAAACCTCACTTCTTCAGA